GGGTTTAACCTCAGAACTCACCTCAAGCCAGTCTTGGAGCTTGTTGTGGGACAGATCAAGTTCAATTACATGAGTACAGAAGGCAGCAATTTCTCCCTCTTCTCCTGCATGACTGATTCCAGAGCCATTCAAAACCAGAACACTGGGCAGGTTCAGACGGTCTGAAGGCAGAATGACCACATAACTAATGAACTATGAAACACAGCAACAGGATGCAGCTGCCAAAGCGAACACTAAAATCACCAAGGAATCTTACATGACTTGTTATTAACTAACCCAAGCCTCACCTTTCATAGGTGATCCCTGCTGTCTAGACGGCACAACCACAACCCCCATGCCTGGACCCCGACGGCAAGGGAAGTTTTCTGGGCTGTACTTCTCACTGATCGCCTGCATGAAGGTGCGGCCTTCTGTCTCAGAAGCTTCCATTGTACCAGCTCACACCACGCACCTTATACAACTGTTGATTCACAGTTACTAAAAAAAAATTATAAAGACAAAGTGTGTCATTATTCAATATTAAATAGTTGCTAGTTTAATGTGCAGAGATAACCAAGCCATTCGTAGGCCAATTTCCCAAAATGGTGATTTCAAAATGGTATTTGAGAAGACCTACATGTCAACTTCTAGCTCAGTCAATGGCGTGAGTTTGAGGCGGAACTGCCTGTTTGCTTGATCCTGAACTAGCCTTACTTTGAACTCCAAAGGTCAAATTATCTGATATTTGAAGAGGCTTACTGACCTTGACATGTGCTCTATAAATCACTTCCTCATTGCACCACATGACTTTCAGTCTTTTATTAATCTTACATAATACTGGTTTGGTGTGTTCTTACACGATTGATTGGTCAGAAGCTGTTTTATTCACAATAAACCATGGCTAAGACCGCTTCACCCAACAGTTCTGTGTATCACTGTGCAACACCCTTAGCAACATAAACAATCAATAATACAGCGTCAAAACTATTCCATGTATTATGTATTTAAGCAAAAGTAAAGGGATAGTTCACACAAAAATGAAAATTACCCCATGATTTAGTCACTCTCAAGCCATCGTAGATGTATATGACTTTCTTCTTTCAGACGAATACAATTGGAGTCCTGGCTTGTCCAAGCTTTATAATGGCAGTGAATGGTGGAATGAATGGCCATTTTTGGGTAAACTATCCCTTTAACAGTCTGTTATTTTTTTAATGAATTATGAGTGACCCCTGCTAGTGTTATGTTGTGTCATTCATCTTTAATTTTAAGACCATTCCTTCCCCCCTCAAAGTATGTATTAATTACTGTATTTATTCGTTTTCTGTTTCTGAGGTGTGGTACTGTATGTCCATCATTTTACACTCTAATGACGCTAGCAAACTCGCGCTGTGCTGCAATTCGGTCTGTTTTAAACTAAAAGATGGAAAACAGATGTTTTCTCATGCTGAGATATAAGCAGTTGTATGTGTGTGTATAATATATGGTGTTAAACAAATAAATGACACAGTGGATGAGAACAGTTACTATTCTCTGTTTTTATTTGAGCTCCATAAGATGAGGCATGTTACATCAGAACATTGTCTTGTCATTTACTGTTGCTGTCAGGAGCTATTTTTTTAGCTGAAGGACAGCATTTAACAAACTTACTTCAAAAAAGTTACATATTAATACATCAATTTTTGGTTTTAATATTTTTTATTGTGTGGTAACCGTTTTATAAAAGCAATAAGGTACATGAAGCATGCTGTCCAGCACAGCCTCTCGTACCTCATTCCTTACACACACACGCTAGTATGTACTAATTTGTGGGGTCCTAATGTTATATATAAGAATGTCAAAACATGTTTTAGGAATGTTAAAACATTTGCGCCAGACAACCTCAAGCAGTTCAGTTAAACATATAATGAGAAGCTGCAGCCCTCTGGGCTAAAAGTTCCATTTTTAAACAGAACTGGCCTAGATTTAACCATCTGCTGACTAAATTAGTCATGTTCTTTGCTAACATGAAACCACCAGCTGTACTGAGAATAGCAATACTGGCTTATAACAAAAATAAGTGAATCCACTAATGAATAAACATTTTGCATACGTTTTTCCTACATTAACTGATGAGAAGCATGAGTTTAAAAGGCTTAGTCTCACCTGCTGTGCGATTTGTCCTCACAGGTCCACGGTCACAGCTGTGCCATAAACTAACGTTTACTTTTACTGCAAAAGTTATTTGTCCTTTGAGTGTCAGGGCTCAAACGCATTAAATGTGGCTGCAAAACAGCAAAGAGACTGGGCTCTGTTCAGCGTCCTCACGGCAGTTTTCAGAAATAACAGCACTGTGTAGAAAGAAGACACCAGGTCAGCAAGAAGGACAGACAACCAATTCACGTTCAGTTGTAACTACATTAATCTGCCTCAACAAAGCCAAAACACTCAATATGCATATGAAAAACCTTAATGTAGTTACAACTCAAGGCAGGTTTACAGGCTCTTAAGGAAAACACATGAAAAAGAGACCAACACCATGTAAACATTCTTTAGACAGCTGTGCATATAACAGTCCTAAAAAAACAATAGCTGCCTTGTTAAACAAAAAGTTGCCAAGACAATACACTGCCTGAAGCAGTTTCATTAGTCTAGCGTTTTGAGCACCAACTTACAAGAACAAGAGCTGATGTCTTTACATTTTACAGCATGCTGCACATTTAATACAGCTTATGAAACACCTATTATGTACAAATGAAATCATGTACAAATAGTACAGACACACACACACACACACACACACATACATACATATATGTATGTGTGTGTTTGTGTGTGTGGTACTCTACTGAACAACTATTAATATTTCACTGCAAATCTACCCAAAACTGTCCACAACCACATATTGTAAATGAGCCTATACAACATACGTACATTTTCAAAGAAGGAACCATTTACAAACCATCACATGACAATAACGTAATGATAAAGAGATAAAGGTGTTGCGACATTCGTTTGTGATTTTATAAAATAACAGAACGTTTATAAAAGACACTGGTGCTAAATCAATGTCAGACGAATTTCTCTTGGGCTACTGCACGAGGATACATATATTAAATCAGACAGCACCAGTCACCAAAACAGACGACTAAATGTTAAATGACTCGGAAAGAGAATGTATCTTTGTAAGTCAACAAACATCTGAGAATGATCATACGTAAGCTAATATTTAGCTAGCTAGAGCCGAAAACGTCCCTCCATCATCATAAAGTGTCTTACATTGAAGGAGCAGCTCCTCAGTGTGACGCGGGACAGGACGCGTCTCCTAACCGTCAGTTTGTCCACGTCATGTCATCTGAAGCCTCGCACTTTGATCGCGAAACTGTTCCGCGCAGCTCTTGTTATTGTTGATAAATCAGTCACGCTGACCCTATTGTCACGGAAGTGGCGTCACTCCAGCTGGGTGCTCTTGATTGGCCCGTTCAGTTGTGCGCGCTGTCTGAGCGCCCTCGCTGGCGGAGCAGAGAACAACAGGCATTAAAAACGTTTTTCTGGATTTAAAATATCTCGCGTTTCAGTTTGTGCATTTATAGATTGAGTAGTTTACACGTGTGTTTTCTTTAGAATATTTACAGGGTGAATTAAGAATGCAAATAAGATGATCAGAAGAGATGAGTAAGTGCAGGGGTTCAGTCGTGAATCATGGGGTGACTCTAGGGACAGAAATACCTTTGATTACAGACCAAATATCACATGGTGGTTCATGGGCGCTTGTCGGCTTCTGCAGTAAAACGTGAACTCGCGATGCCTTGAAAGTGGACCAACCCGGCTTTTTTGACCCGTTTTTGCTGTTTGCTCGGTAAAAACTACACTGTTCTCAGTGGCGTGCGGTGGTGTTTTTTTTAATGATGATGCAAAGTTCCTACAATTGTATTATTATTATTATTATTATTATTATTATTAATTTTTATGTATCAGCTGCCAGAGTTCTTGCCAGGAGTCACTGGCAGATGCCAGAGTTCGTGGCAGGAGTCATGATCGTTTGTCGCCGTTTCTGCTGTAAACTACACTTTTTTTTTTTTTTGAAATAAAAGATTTGATGATGCCAATACACTTTTTTTTTTTTTAAATAAAAGATTTGATGATGCATATTATATACCAGCAAGCAGATGCGATCAGAATATGAACCCAGTAAGCTAAATTGCATAAGCATTTTCCCATAAAGAACATACACACGCATGAGTGCCCAGCTGCCGCTAGTCAATACTGTATATACGCACACACAAACATATATTTATTTATTTAATGTAACACTTTAGTTATTAACTAGTTGCTTGCATATTACTATATTAGCTGTTTATTCGTACTCATAAAGCACATACTAATGCCTTATTAAGCAGATGCGATCAGAATATGAACCCAGTAAGCTAAATTGCATAAGCATTTTCCCATAAAGAACATACACACGCATGAGTGCCCAGCTGCCGCTAGTCAATACTGTATATACGCACACACAAACATATATTTATTTATTTAATGTAACACTTTAGTTATTAACTAGTTGCTTGCATATTACTATATTAGCTGTTTATTAGTACTCATAAAGCACATACTAATGCCTTATGCGTGACCATATTCTACATCTTACCCTATACCCCATGGTCACCCCACACTTTTAATAACACGTAAATTCGTCCCACGCACTTTTTTGTAGTGTGTTATAGACGTTTTCAAGGGCCGATGTGAAAGAATATAGATTTAAATTCAAAGAGACAAGATAGTCTGTGCATACCTAATGTTTTATTAGTACCCAGAATGAGGTGAGATGAACATCACGGAGTGCTCAACACTCTCATTCAGTGTGTGTTTCATTCATACTCGAAGCTGGAGGGAGCTCTCGCGCAGAAAGTGCAAGACGGACTCGTATAGAAGTAATAATTTATGACGTACCAGGAAATCCCTAATATGGACAAAAGTCCAGCTATCACTGTTTCCAAACCTTTGGAAACATGAAGATTGCGAGAATATATGGTTTATTTGTGCTTTTTTAAATCATCTCCAGGTAATAAATGGTTTATTTTTTAAATCATCTCCAGGTAATAAATAAAGTATATGAACAATTCAGTGCTACTTGACATATGACATAGTACAGTAGGCTACAGAAACTATTCTGCCTTATTATGTGATAAAAATGAAAAAAAAAATGTTTGTAGTACATTAACAAATTATAACAAAAAATAACAAATCATTTATTGGTTATTGTTCAACAGTGTATGTGATTTCTTAGCCAATTAAAAGAAAGAAGAGAAAAAATAAAGTTTCCTATATTCCTATATACAGCATGTATATACTGTATGTATAATGTATATACAAGGCACTGTATATATTAGGGCTGTGACGGTATGGGATTTTTCTTACCGCGGTGAAGACGCAACAAATCACCGCGGTTTGGCGGTTAATCGCAACCCCCCTCCCCCTCCCGCCGCGAAAATATAATGATTTAAGAACGCATGCAGCTTGTAAATGAACATGGAAATGAATAATAATAAAGCAGTCTTCTTTATTATTAAAACAGCAAATTATATTAACAATAATAAAATAAAATTACATTTATTTCAACTTTGTTTTTTCGATATCTTTTGAGTTTAATAGGAATTATGGAACAGTTTTTAATAATTTAACAGCAAATTATCATTAATATTATTTAACTTAATAAGGCTACATTTATAACAACATTTTTAAAAGTGGAACATAAAAGTGTTTGAATCTGATTTGGGTTTTTCAAAGTGCAACACAAGGGAACATCAGGAACATCATTGTTAAACTACTGGGCCGCTTAAGTGAATCGGCAAGTCCTGCTGCTTTATTTTTCGGTCTTCAAGTTTCTTGCCAGGAAAACCAACATGTTAACTTTGTCTGGTTTCAGCGAAGCTCTTAACAGAGTGACAATGTTGCCAGCCGCACTGAATACATGCTCCGAGGGAGCACTCGTAGCGCATATAGTCATATATTTTCTGGCAACTTTCGAAAGAAGAGGGAATCGAGCCTGATTATCCCTGTATTACATATTGTTCATTCATTTATTTTTAACACCGCACCCCCAGCACCCCCATTTTTTCGTAGGCTACACTCCAGGGGGTGCTGCAGCACCCTCAGCACCCCTACTTCCCGCGGTAATGTCTGTGGCTGTGCATGACCTAATGTTTTATTAGTACTCAGAATGAGGTGAGATGAACATCACGGAGCGCTCAACACTCTCATTCAGTGCGTGTTTCATTCATACTCGAAGCGGGAGGGCGCTCTCGCGCAGAAAGTGCAAGACTGACTCATATAGAAGTAATAACTTATGACCTACCAGCAAATCCCTAATATGGACAAAAGCGTCCAGCTATCACTGTATAATCTGAATAAAAGGCAGAAACCTTTGGAAACGTGAAGACATTAAACACACGATTGCGACAATATATGGTTTATTTGTGCTTTTTTAAAATCATCTCCAGGTAATAAAGTATATGAACAATTCAGTGCTACTTGACATAGCATTTATTACAGTAGGCTACAGAAACTATTCTGCCTTATTATGTGATAAAATAAAAAAAAAAGAAGTGTTTGTTGTACATTAACAAAACATTTATTGGTTATTGTCCGACAGTGTATCTGATTTCTTAGCCAATTAAAAGAAAGAAATAAGAGAAAAAAATAAAGTTTCCTATATTCAGTATGTGTATATATATATATATATACATACATACATTATATATATATATATA